TTTAAGAGTCTCTTGATTATCGGTTAGTTTTCTAGCTAAATACAGCATTCGCAAGCCATTAGAGACTTTGGATGAAATATGTTTGATCTGATTATCCCAGGTTAGCATTTCATCAATATGAACCCCCAGTAATTTAGCAGAGGGTTTATGTTCAATAGGTCTATTATCCAACTCTAGATTCACGAACTTGGCATTTGCCAAATTTTGCCGAGAGCCAATTGTCATATAACTAGTTTTAGAGGTATTGCAACTCAATTTGTTTGTCTTAAGCCAATTATGTACTGCAATTAAGTCACTATTTAAAGAACATTCAATTGCGGATATTTTTTCATGAGCTGTAGTTATATATGTATCATCGACAAACATACCAGGCGTTGTATGTCGTAGACATTTGGGAAAATCGTTAATATAAATTATGAAGAATAGTGGTCCAAGTATAGAGCCCTGGGGAATGCCACATGATACGTATTGTTCTGTGGATAAGACGCCATTTACATAACATCTCTGTGTTCTGTCAGTCAAATATGACTTAAGCAGCTGAAGAGCATTGTCATTGACACCATAACAATACAGCTTACGTAGTAAAATGTTATGGTCAACAGTGTCGAAGGCTTTCTTAAAGTCGATAAATACACTACCATTAAGTTTACCAGCATCCATGTTAGTAAGCCAAAGGTTTACTGCACTTATCAAAGCTGTAGTATCTAAGGGCGTGGATATCCTCCCCCCCCCCCCCCACTTTAAAAGTTGGGATCCTCTATTGATTTTTAAAAAATTTTTCATTTTGGGTAAGTGTTTTTTTTTTTTTTTTTTTTCTTTTATCTGATTTTTAAGTTAGTCCCGTTGAGGAATTTTTTTTTTTTATTTTTTAGATTTACTTAGTGTATATTATAATTTTTTTTTATTGTTATTATTTATTATAAATAATATAAGTTTATAATAAAAAGAAGAAAAATAAATATTGCTATGATATCACACTATATATAAGAAGAAAAAAAAAAAAAAAAAAAAAAGTTAGTAAAAAAACTAGAAAAAATCTGAAAGAGAGGGAGAGGATATTGGTGCGGTGGGGGGGGGGGGGGGGGGGGGGGGGGATAAAAAGTTTTAAAGGAGAATGGGTGAACACAAAATATTATATTTTTTTAAATTTTAAAAATTTAAAAACTTAAAAAATTAAATTTAAACTTATTTTAAAACCAATTTTTTTTTTCCAAAAATTTTAGCTTTTTAATTTCCCAAACGGAAATCGATATAAGCCTTAAATAGAAAAAAAAAAAAAAAAAAAAAAAAAAAAAAAAAAAAAAAAAAAACAGGCAAAAACAGGCAAAAACAGGCAAAAACAAAATATTCCACGAAAGTTCACAAAGACTACTACGAACTTCCCACCTAAAAGGTCAAATTATGTATTGGTGTGCAACAATCCAATAATCTATTCATTTGATAGACCCCTTTAGCTTGTATGTTTTGTTTTCTCAATAGATGTTCCAGCGGAAATTGACCCTTTGTCTTTTCATAAGTTATGCGAGCGTCTTCATGTGAAACAGTTCTCCAGAGTATTATCACATGACCTGCATTGGGAAAACAAAACATGCAAGCTAAAGAGGTCTATTCACGTGCCTGTGCGTTTTACTGCATAACAACAAACAACACGTGTTGTTCATTTCTTAGGTTGGAATCGATGCATCAAGTAGAGATGATAAAGACGATGACATTGAATCGTATGTATCCCTTGAATACGCAACGTTAGAAAGATTAGAATCACGTTTACGACGTTTAAGGCAAGGCTTTGAAAACCTAAATAAGGTAACAGAATACTAACATCCTGCTTAGAAACCATAGGTACTGGCGGGGACATCTCGCTTGTTTCGGTTTCTTTCCAAAACATGATTGACGAGGAAGTTGATTATTTTTGTGGGGTAACCAAAGCAACCAAATTTCTAAACGTCTGAAATTATGTCTTTACCAGTTTTACTCTTGTGTGAATTTATAGATAATTTTTCAAAACACCTGCCGTATTAAATTGCTCTCAAATACCCAAAGTCATTTACAAAGCTTGTTGGGATTGTAATGATTTTTACATGGTAAAATTAACCGACGGCTCCATGATAGGAGGACTGAACACTTCAAGTCCCTAACAAAAAATGATCACTCTTCAGCTATTGCTGACCACGTCACTGCCACCCGACATAACATTAAGCCGGATCACTTTGAAATCTTAGCATCTGGCAAAACAAATTATCATTGTAAGGTAGAAGAAACATTGTTTATACAAGACCTTAAGCCAGCTTTTAGCAGTGAAAAGCTGATTTTTTTATTAGCTGTTGCCTTTTGTATTCATTGCTGTTAAGAATTGTTTTAAATTCTTAATCTCATTTCCAGAGTAAATAATTTTGAACATACAGTCTTGTCATTTTCTTTAACGGTCACTTAAGATCACTCTTAAAAATGTATGTTGAGTAACACAAGAAAAACTTCAAGTTTAAAAAAATACGAAAGCTCACAATGTTTATCACCGCTTTTTGTGTTTTATTTTGATCAAACTACGATGGCCCAAGAACAAAAGTTTCCAATTTATTGTAATTTGCAAAATTAGAATTCTGTTACAGATATTTAAAGTTGCGTTACCCGTTACGCCACGATATCACGTGATTATATCGTGTGACTTGGTTGTAGGACTCGAACTCGCCGAATTCTGACTTTGTTACTTAACTCGAGACTCTTCGAGTTTTTAGCTTTCGCTGTCACTGTTTAACGCAATAGAATTAACATTTTGGTCCTTCGGAGACCGGATATTCGCACTGATGTGATAATTGGATTGTAATCAGAACAAGTGTTGTGGAATTTGCAAAGGACTCGTTCGAACTTGGAAACATTTGGCGGGAAGTCTACAGAGAAAACAAGAGGAATTTTGGAGGGAAAAATAGAAGAGTTGAAGAAAGAAAAAAGAACATGAAAGACAAGTATTACGAAGCTTCGGAACGAAATGGCGGTGTGGAATTATCGACGAAAACGCCAAACAAGGAAAATATCACGGAAAAACAAGACATCGGCAAGCGACGGCACGAATTATTGGAGCTGTTGGACTCCCTTTAACTTTGTACGGAGAAAATAAGAAAGCATCGCTGGCAGCTTAAACAGGTGAAGAATCGGATAAAATGATAGATCGCGTGGATAACGAGACAAAGGAAGCTCGGCTTTTCTTATCGCAAGGTAACAGCACGGAAAACAAAGAGAATGTTACAACTCGAGCAAGAGCGGTACACTTGAGAGCGCACATGCCAAGGATGGTAAAGTGGTCGATGCAAATAAACAGCTTCAGAGGCTTCGAATTGCTAGGATTTCGGGCGACAAGGAAGAATATCAGTCGTGGTGGGCAGCGTTTTCCTGCAGTTGTGTCGATGAAACGAATTTTTCAGCTCATTTTGACCTGTTGCGGCTCAGAAGAAACGGCGCCCGAAAGGGTGAAAGGATTAAGTTACTGGGATCATGCCTACGAAGAGGCTTAAGACAAGGTTGAATCGAAAGTGTGGGGGAAGCAGGCGACAGGTTCAGGCCCATTTCGATGGGCTACGAAAGATGAGGCCAATAAACGCTGATAATTCAAGAGAGCTAGAAATATTTGCTGACAAAGTGGAGAGGACTGTGGTTTCTTTAAAGGAAAGTAAGAAGTTTGCTGACCTGGAAGGGGGAACATCGTATGCAATTGTGCTGGGAAAACGTCCACAAGCTCTTTACTTAGCCAGTACTACCGATGGATTAAAGAGAGGGGAAGTATGGATGCTTTTGACGAGCTGCGTCACTCGGTTCTTGAGAAGGCTGAGTACCAGGTGCAAGCATCAGATATTAAGCATGTTTCTTCCAGTGTTGGAAATGCATAAGGGAAGAGCTCAAGAAAGTCTTCTTTTAATTCGGTACCGCAGACGAGACACGTGTTCGTCCCTGTAAAGTGTACACCCAAAAACACACAATTTGGAAATGTGATGCGTTCAAGTGGATTGGGACATAAAAAGAAGTGGGTGGCGGCGAAGAAACTTAGACCGTGTTACTGTTGCTCGGGGAAAGGACTCCTTAGTGACTTAGATGCCTGGAGCAGAGAGTGTGGAATTGACTGCTGCAAGGACCTACACCACCGGTTACTTCATGTAGTTCCTGGGTCCATGGAGGGGGAGGCTGCTACATCTGTGACAGAGAAAAACAATTTAAGTCTAGTACGTACGAAACACTACAAGAACATGCACAGGGGAGTATTGCCTTGCGTACTGTTCCAGTCATTTTCAAACATGGGGACAGACGTTTGCAAGTTAATCGTTTCTTGGACGAGGGCAGTGGTACAGTTGTACGTCGTATGTTAATGAGGATGTGGTAGAGGAAATTAATGGCGTTGAAGGGTAGGAAGGAAATAGTAATTAGCAATGTCGCTTATGGTCAGACGGCCAGGTTAATGTCAGCAACCATGGAGGTTTTGGACAGTCTGGGTGGTCAGGTGGACACAATCATTGTAGCGAAGACATCAAATATCATCTGTGGTGGGATGAAACCCACCAACTGGCTGCAAATCAAAGACCAGTGGAAACATTTCAGGCACATTACTTTTCCCAAACTTGGAGAAAGGAGTAAAATCGATGTTCCTATTGGTTCAGATTATTACATCTTGTTGTTTCCTATCAAAGAGGCTCGTGGAGGCGACAATCAACCTAGTGCCAGACTGTGTCCGTTGGAGTGGACAGCAATTGGTACCATTGGTAAGCGTACGTGTGAGGGACATGGAGCAAGTAACACTGGTTGCCTAAACACCTATCCCATGCAGCAATCGGAGTGTAGTGACGGAGATCTGAAGTATCTGCTGAAACAATTTTGAAGCCATGAGGCTATTGGGATCACACTGCAGGTGGAGCAACTACTTTCCCGAAGAGAAACTAGCCTTTGATAAAGTGAACGAGTCAACCAGGTTTGATGGTGAGAGGTATGAAGTTGTGCCTTGGAAACATGAAAGACCAGAATTACCGCCAAACTGACAGAGAAGTATCTTCACACAGTCGATAAGAGGATTATGCAAGATGAGAAGCTGGCACAGGCTTACCAATCAGTAGTTGAAGGCTACTTAAGTAAAGATATATCCGAAAAGTCCCAGAAAATAAGCCAAACCACCATCAGAATTGTTCCTCCCACATTTCCATGTGGTAAGGCCACAGAAGTCCACAATCAAAGTTCAGGTTGTTTTCGACGGCTCAGCTCAACAAAACGGATAGTGAATCAGTGAACAGTGAATCATTACCGGATCGAAAGTAGCAAAGTGACATTTTTGGCGTCTTAGGTAAGTTTAGAAAGGAGACAGTTGCCTTAGTTCGCGATGTCAGTCAAATGTATCACCACATACTTATCAGACCAGTGGACAGGCCCCTTCATATCTTCGTGTACGGGAACTTGGGCAGCGAGGATACATCAAAGGTTTATGAGTTTAAGAGGTTCATTTTTTGGAGGGTGCATGTTACTGCCCATTTTGTGTCCAGTTTGCTTGGCAACATCATGCTAGACTTCACAAGGAGACTTACCCATTGGCAGCTAATGCAGTTGTAGAACACTGTTACATGGACTTACGGTGGATCGGGTGAAAGAAACAAGAAAGAATTGGGTGACTTGGCTAGTTTTCACATCCGCAAATGGATCTCAAATGAAGCGGATGTAATTGTTTGCGTTGCAGAAGGAGATCGGGCGCTGAGATAGACTTAGAGAAGAGAAAATGGCCAACAACCAACACCCTAGGTGTCCTGTGGGCCGCCACAGATAACGACTTTTCCTTTAGACACTCATTACAATAAGATGGATTCGAATTCACCAGGAGGAATGTTTTTAAACGAAGAGCAATAGTTTGCGACCCGTTAGGCTTCTTATTCATTTATGTAATCAGGTCCAATTTGTTACTACAAAAGGCCGGACTGGAGGCCCAGGATTGGGATGAAAAGTTGCTGAAAAATCATTAGTCAGAATAAGCAAAGTGGTTTCGAGAACTGGAAGACTTTGAACTTGTAAAAATCCCAGGATTTTTGAGAGACCTAGTACTAAGGTGGAAGAGCTGAACATTCATACATTCAGCAACGCCTCAGAGGACGCTTACGCAGCTGCAGTTTACGCACGTCACGTATATGAGGGTGGCAGCATTGCTACTCGATTGATTATGTCGAAGTCTAGGCTTGCACTATGGAAAGCAGTGAGCATCCCCAGGTTAGAGCTTAAGAGTGCACTCATCGGATTACGATTAACAAGACAAGATTGCTCTGAACTCAAGATACCTACCAATAGAGTGACCTGTTGGGTGGACAGTATGAATGTGGGGTACTGGATCCAAGGTCAGAGTAGAGATAGATAGATGATAGATAGATAGTTTATTAAAACTGCATCGCAGCCAAAGGCTGATTTACGCAATTGTTTACAAAAACTTTACAATACTTGAAAATTACAAATGAATCCTAGATAGTAAGTCGAAAACTGAGTAGAGAGTATAAGTCGCGTTCATAGCCCATAATGTTGGAGAAATTCATGAGTTCCCTGCTCTTAATCACTGGCGCTATGTTCCTTCAAATGTTAACCCCGCCGACCTTGGGAAAATTGGTCTTACAGTAGAAGAATTAGAACGCGCTGAGTTATGGTGAAAGGCCAGATTGCAAGTTTGACCAACATAAAAATAGAACCTTGAGCTTCAAGGAACAAAGGAAACAGGAACAAAGGAGGCTACCAGTTACCAAATAGCTGAAGGAAGTGGAGAAACTGCAAGTGTTGAAGAGGTGCGGCGACTGGACCCCTCAAAAAACTCAAAATGGTGTCGAGTCAAAACGAGAGGAGAACTAGAGATTGGGTTTTCTTAGTTTGCGTGACAGCTTGGGTGGTTTTCTACAATTGTATGAAAATCGCACAGCTAATCAAAACAATGAAGAATTTATCATTCGCGAAGTACTCAGTAGAGAGAAAGCCATTGAGAAGGAACAAGGAAATCCTAAAAGGAAGTACATTGGCACCGTTCAATCCAGTTCTAGTGAACGACATTTTGAGGTCCAACACCAGACTACGACATGCGGACGATCTCCCATATGATATAAAATGTCCAATCATACTACCTAAGAGGAATTCACGTCACGCGACTGATCGTTAAGTACTACCACGAACTAGAGGGTTATGAGATGGGGATCAACCATACAATTAACAATATGAGGGAGAAATACTTAGTGATCTTAGTGATTCATGTTCGTGAACAAGAGAAATGAGTCATGAGAGAATGCTTTGAGGGTGAGAGACGATTTAGATCAAAGCCGGCTCACCAGCAAATGGTGCTGTTACAGAAGATTAGACTGCAGCGATCCTCCAGAACTTTGGAGAGCTGTGCAGTTGACTCGGAGGACCTTTCTTAAACAAATAAGGACGTGGAAATTGCGATCTAAGCGCTATTTGTGTTTTTTCTTCTGTTTGAAGACCCATTATTGCCATTTAGAGATGGCATCGTCTTTGGACACTGCCAGATGCATTTCGTAACGCATTTATCAGAATGACTGGGCGGAGAGGATGGCCGCAGTAAATGTTAAGTGATAAGTGAACGATCTTTGAAAACGCATAGAGGAAACTGAAACATGTGGTCTCTGCTATGGACCAAGACACGATATAACGGTTGACCCCCAATAGGGGTGTGTGATGGAAGTGGAATCCACCTACTACTCCACATTTCGGTGTAGTCCTTGAACAGGACTACAGCCAGCAAAGGACAGCCAGCAAAGCGAGCTATTTTTTCAGTACTAGGTGATGCAAAAGTTAATGACGAAGAGTGATGACCCTAACAATGACCGCTTCTTAACTCCAAACTGTTTTCTGATAGGACAGATGGGAGGCGATTTTGTAAGGGAAATCGTCGAGACGGAGCCATTTAACCCAAAAAAAGTGCTGGAGAAGAGTCTGAGAGCTCACAAGACATGAATGGAACCGATGAATGAAAGAATACTTGCATTGTACCACAGATTGGATCAAGACAGAAATGGCAATTCGGTAATGACAATTTGCGTGTTGGAGATGTTGTCGTAGTTATTGATCCCGGTCCAGTGAGGCGACAGTGGAATGTTGGGCGTATCAAGCAGACATACCCCAGCCCTGAAGGCCTTGTGCGAGTGGTGGCCTTACGGGTAATTGCAAGACTCTAAAGCGACTAATAACTAGTTTTCTCCCCTGGAGATTTGGGACACCGAAATGAAATAAGACTAATGTATAACAAGAACACTTCGGAGAACTATGATCTTTGAGCTGAGGATGCTTTTTAGTTAAGATGTATTCGAACTTCAGCCTCCCCTGAAAATCGGGAGGGGAAGAAAAGTTACAGACATTTAGTGTTGCGTTACGCGTTACACCTTGATGTCACTTGCTTATATCATGTGACTTGGTTGTAGGATTCGGACTCGTTAAGTCTTGACTTAAATCGTTACTGTTTAAAGGAATAGAATCAACCACATCTTTAACATCAGGTGTTTTATGGTAACCGGCAAAAGGCAAACCTGAAGATGTCACGTGACTATGGTCTTTTGACCGCTTTTGTAGTTTACAGTACACGTTCGAACGGCATGAAGGGTTTCCAGCGGTAATGGATAAAGGCAACTTTAAAGTTAGAAGTTACCATAAATTATTGCAAGCATTGTGCTAGTCATTTTCCGTCCTTGCCCGGAAGGCCCTAGAATTCAATTTTATGAAATAACTAAGATAGTACGCGCACTCTGATTGGCTGAGAGGAGTGTTTGCATGAGAGTAGGTAAACATGGTTGTGACGTGAGATCTTTTGCTTTTCGCGCTAATCACGCAAGCACGAATTTGAAAAAGTTTTAGCAATCAAAACTCGACAAGTTTACTTTATTTACTCGTTCCTTCGTCGTCTTAAGCTTGGAAAATCTTTTCAAACAAGCTGTGTCAACAAAGAGTTTTGCGTTTTTTCTCAGGAAAGTTATTTTATAAAAGCAGTAGAAAACTTTTTTCCGGTGTTTGCATAGCCTGATATAAACACTTGAGGGGTTGTGAGAATTCTCGACAATTATGCAAACCCTCGACTTCGTCTCGGTTTTGCATAACTGTCTCGAATTCTCCCAACCCCTCTCGTGTTTATATCAGGCTATGCAAACACAGAAAAAGTTTTCTATTGCTTAAATGCACACGCCGGAATTTAATGTTAATTGTATTTGGTTACCTTTACAAGCACCAGCTACCGGAACGTGTTTTCTCTCTCATTAGGAATTGTTTAGTGCGTCACCCTCGTGTTGCAGTCGCGTTTGACGAACAAAACTTCCAAATGGTTCATTTGCTAGAAGGAGTTTCATGCATACTGAGTTACAAAAGATTTTAACGAACCAATATTTAGAGTCCTCTTATTCAAGAAACGTAGATCGTCATTTACCAGTAGAAGGAGAGGAGACTTAAAAACAATTCCTAAACCCATAAAACGGGATTGATATCTTTATTCTTTTTAGTTTATGTAGATTATGTAAATATAACGTTTCCAAGATTATCGCTGCTATTTATATCGGGCAAAATACTCCAAAATATATAGAAAACACTCCAATTATTGGCAGCGTCACCGCAACAGCGCTCGACGCCACTACGAGGGCCCTTAACAGTCCCTTTTCCCATGAATAATAAACCACTGCACCAGGAACTACTTTACAAAGCCTCTGCACTTTCTCTTCAGTTGTTTAATATCCCTGAGTGTTGGTCCGACCGGGTTTTGAACCGACAGCCAAAAAATACGTACACTGAGGGGATGAATATTTGA